GGTTTTAGGCCCTCTCGAAATCACTAACCAAATGCGAAAAAGAGAATGTTGGCGGGTTTTGTATGTATCTTCCCCTGTTCTAGCGGAAGATACATGCGCCATTTCGCACTTGGTGTGCGGCGAGGCCCTTAATCGGCGTCTCGAGGTCGAAATCACTCGTGTTGATCAACCCGCATTTTATTAGTTGACGAACGAAAAAAAGATTTGTTGCTGGGACCTCGAGGAACGATTCATTTGCGTCTTTGGGCCTCGAGGAATGCTCCGCTATCCAAATGTGAAATAATGAGAACGAATCTTCCGCTAGAGCATGAACAGATACACCGTCATATTCTTTTCGTCTTTCGTGCATGTGCAGAGTAGTGGAGCGAGACCCATTTAAGTGTCAGATGCAATCGTTTGGAATTGGGCGCGCAGATTTATTTTTTCAAAAATAATTAATAATTCTACTATCGGCAGTAGTCTTATTAACCCGAATAGACCGCCCGGTCGTTATCGCTGTATCTAGAGCAAGAGTTGTACTAAATACAGCTATATGATGACCGGGCATTCCGTTCCGGCGACGACGGTACCGTCTTCGCTTGAACAGAACGCGCGGTCATTATCGCTGTATCTAGACTTGAAATTGCACCAAATGCAGCAGCAGCTATTATGACCGGGCGTTCTATTCGGGGTAAGAGGGTAGTGGTCGCCCATCGCAGGTTCAATTACCTTCCATGGCGTTGTTTCGCTTTCTTTCCGCTTTTTTTGGGGTCGATTTTTTTCCCTTTCGTTTCTGGCTTCGTGTCGTCGCTCTTTTTTTTCGTTTTTTCTTTTTCCCTGTTCGTGTATTTGGTATCCACGTGGTTGTTTTCGTTATTCTTTTTGGCGGGGGGTGAGGGGGCAGGTAGGTCTCCTTGTGAGGAAAGCTTCGTTTCTTTAGGTCTTTCTGGGGTCCGTTTTTTGCTGTTGCTTTTTTTCTTTTTTTGGCGGGTTCCCAGTCTTGCGAGGAGGTGTGGGTCATCTTGGGGTATGTCTTGTGTGTCATGCCGCTGGTTTTGGGGACCGGGGGGGGGGTTAGGAGGCGAGGACGGGAGTGCATGCGGTTCTCGCGCTGCTTCCTGTGAGGAAGGCTTCTTTATGTGGGTCTTTTTGGGGTTTTGGTTTTGTCTGATTTTTTATTGAATGTCCTGTTTCATGTGAGGAAAGCTTCTTTGTCTGGGTCGTTTTGGGGTTGGTTTTGTATGATTTTACGTATTGAATGTGAGTTGTTCTGATTGATTTTAAGTTCACGTTTTTGTGGGATCCCTGGGTCCCAGGGCGAGGTCCCCCACTTGCACGGATTAAGACATTCGGCCGTTGATCCTTGTTGCTATCTACGGTTAGTATCTCTTATTTCGTTCAAGTGGGACCTTGACCCCCCCGTTAATCGCCGTTCCTCATCGTTATAGAACTCAGATTAGGGGAAAAAAAAAAGAAAAGAGCGCGAAGCCATCGAACGCCATCATGGGTTCGATCTGTGGAACGAGGTCCCCACTAGAAAGGAGAGTATTCAATGGAGCGCCTGAATCTGGACGGGTGTAAAAAGGAGAGATGCAGAAAACTAGAGAGAGAAATGGCGAATTTCTGCATCTCTCCACAAAGACGTCCTGATGCAGGCGTTAAATCCGATCCTTTTGCTACTGGGACCTCACTCCTGATGTTTTCTTATCGCCTTGTTGGAGATGGACGGCTGCGAATTCATGCGTTATATTCTTTAAAAAACGAAAAAAATGGTCGTGTTCCCCCCCCCCCCCCCCCCGCAAAAGGAGACTCGATTTCTTCGTATGATGAGGAGAGCTCTTCAGTCTCTTCGAACGAGGAGGAAAGTCCTGTGCATCTTATCGCCTCGTTGGAGATGGGCGGCTACGATTTCATGTTTTATTTTTTTTAAAAAGAAAAAGAAAAATGGCCGCGTTCTTTAACTCGCAAAAGTAGGCTTTTTCGATTTCTTCGTACGATGAGGAGAGCTCTTCACTCTCTTCGAACGAGGAGGATAGAATAGTCCTGCATCTCTCCACAAACGTGTCCAGATTCAGGCGTTAAATCCGATCCTCTTTGCTAGCGGACCTCGCCCCGGATGTTTTCTTATCGCCTTGTTGGTGACGGACGGCTGCGATTGGATGTTTTGTTCTTGAAAAAATGGAAAAATCTGGCCGTGTGTTTTTTTTTTTCCTTGAAAGGAAAACTCCTTGATTTCTTCGTACGATGCGGAATGCTCTCTTTTGAATCTCTTCGAACGAATTGCAAAAGTTCTGTCGTTCTTTGCGAGGGGAAGAAAAATTTTCTCTGGTCCCTTCTTCGATCTTTCAGCAAGTTTTCTTCGATCTTTCGGCAAGGGGAAGAAACTTCCTCGATCTTTCGGAAAGCTTTCTTCTATCTTTCGGAAAGGGGAAGAAACTTCCCCGATCTTTCGGAAAGGGGAAGAAACNTTTTTTTTTTTTTTTTTTTTTTTCCCTTGAGAGTCCGACAGTCCTGCTCCCCGTGTTCTAAGTTCTGCTGAAGTGCCCTCACTGAGGACAAACTCGCAGGAGTATCCAAAAAAAAGTGTGTCCAACTGCAATCACGGCCAAAGCTTGTTTTGTTTTCTGGGACGTATGGATTTGAGATGGGCACAAAATTCGAAACCTTCTGACGCACAACAGTTAACCGGAGTGACAAATGATGGCCTGCAAAAAAATTGGAAAGCATTAAACCACGAGTACTTGGGCACTGCACGCCGCGCCGGCCGCCCAAATCTCGAAGCAGCACGGGCTGTCGATTCGATTTATCGACGGCCCGCCGGCCGCGGAAATCGCGTAGCGTTAACGCCAAGGCATCGCCCAAGTACTGGTGGTTTAAGGAAAACCCCAATCCAAAAGCACGCCAGCATCATGTGGTTACAGTCCCTAATGGTGACAGCCACAGCAATGTGGCTAGCGTCTAGAGGGATGGAAGTCCCCACCGAATGCATGCGCTGCAATTGGGGTTGGGAAAATTCGACCTATCTTTGGTTTCTATGTCCCCTGGTTGACCAACTGTTGATGTGGTGGAAGAGGCACTGGGATCCAATGACAGCCGGAAATTTTGAGTGGTCAGACCCCTGGATGCTAACGGGCTTACTTCAACAAGGGATTAACTATGCATCAGGATGGGGATACATGGCTTTTTGCTGCAGAGGGATTCTGATGGAAGTGATATGGTCAGCCCGGAACGCCAGGGTCTTCAGACGTGAAGACACTGCCAGGACCCAACAGCAGCAGCAAGTGAAACAGGCTATTCGCACGTTAATTCGAGCGGATTGGCACAGAAAAAATGTGATCTGGTTTCAAAAGACGTGGGCTTTGAATAGTAGGTTTGCTACTGTCTCACAACAAGGGCACCTCTCCTTATGTACTTGGCTCTTTGACACTCACGACTGAGAGCTCGCAGATTGTAATGGGTCGTAGATAGGCCCAACAGACTGTGCCGTTTTTAGGCTCAAGTACGTTGTAAGAGTTCGAATGGTCATAAGTGGCATTTAGAGGTAGACACACCGAGAAACAAGTTTATCTTACTGTTTGAGGTCTACCTTCTTTGCTTGGTTTGTCAAAGATAGGATACTGATCAAGATTAGATGAACTTGAATAAATTTCTAAGACAATGAGCTTCAAGGCTAGGATCCTTTTTTTTTTTTTTTTTTTTTTTTTTTTTTTTTAAAGCTCC